TAGAGCGTTGACACGGAGAAGTATAAAACTATGACAATCAAGGAGGCCATAAACGCGCCCTACAATAATTATTGTAGGGACGACTGACGATACGTGCCTTAGTGAGAGCGTCTGCAAAATGTGATCTATGCAGGAGAGTGAAAAACACTCTATCAAGCTGCATTAAAATGATGTCAAGTAGGTTGACTCGTTCAAGGAATAACTTAATAGGAGGATTCCTGTAGTCACAGATATTGGTGTTGCTTTTGGAGTGTTGGGATTATATTGGTCAATACTTTTTTCAAGATGAAGATGGTAACATCGTGACGGTAAACGGGGAACGCTTCAGAGAGCCCGCACAGCTGAGATTTGATGCCCATGGAGTGTACTCTGTTAAGGACCGCTGTTAAGTGTTAGTGAACCATGCTCAAACAATTCATGTCCCAAACCAAACCACACCTATATCATAAAATACTGCATTTTACAACCTACATTGAAATCAGCAGTTCACATTTTATTGCTTGACACGGCGATCCAATGAAGTTCTTTGAAACGGGTGGCTTGATGAGATCATTTGTAAGGTGGTCCGGCTAGTTTCTTCATTTCGTACCGGACTCTTCGGATGATTCTGCATTTGTTTCCTGACACGCCACGTCCTGCTGCACACTACAATGAGGAAATTGTTTTAAACCTTGACATATTCAGAATCCATAAAAATTATTCTGTAGACCCTGAACAAAGTTATTTCTCCATACATCTACTCACCAGATTTCTTTTTACATTTTCTTCACAGATTAACGGGGCATTGAATAAATTTTTCAAAGAAAAGAGCAACACCAACCATCCTTGTCAGATTCTTTAATAGTGAAATATTAAGGAAGCTCGTTTTTTCTACTCGATTCAAATGTTTTGGGATCTACAGTCAAACTTCGTGCTTAACTGCTCTTTTTTTGCAAAGCTGAAAATAAAAAGTTCCATTATCGTTACATCAACAATTGTTTGAAAGCTTGAATGCATTGTGGATTGTGAAATGTGTAAAAATATAAATTCCCATAGTCTCTGAGGGTGACCTGAGTAATCATGTTTCAAAAATATTTATATAATTCGCTTTCAAAGGGAGCACTGAAAAATATTATTCTAATTACAGTATTAAACTTTAGTTTTGCACCCTAGAGACGAGAGAGTATACTTTTGGGATTCAAAAACTTTGTAAATATTCAGTCGAACTTGAGCTATTATTGATGATGTGAAAAATATTACTTTGCATTCTGTTTTTTCGATTTTTTTCACAGGAAAAAGTTACAATGTCCGAATGGAATTTCACAGGACTATTTCATGAGTAACAGATTATTATTTCTGGTGTCCTAGGAGACCCGAATTACTTGTTATCAAAGGTACAGTAATTTTTTGTGACAACAGCTATCAAGTTTTGCAGTGGGTAAATCAAAAAAACTGCTGAGGGGGATCCTCGTGGGTTTGTAGAGTACAAAGGAAGTCAGATTCGTAATCTAAATACCTGATTGATTAAGGAACGTGTTTGTGTTCGGATTCCAGATATATACGCAAAAGGATTTATGATACATATCTATCATAGGATACCTCATAATATTATAGGATTAAAAGAAAAAAACACTACATAAACCAATAAAATGAATATTATTAATAATTTAAATATAAAAAACTTACAAACAATTTTTAAAGCTATGGTAAAACATAATAGGAGGGTTTATTCCCATGTTCCACCACTGCCCTTGCAATGCTTACTTTGTTTTTTTTTTGATTTTGCTACTCAGTCCCTTCCATCATCCGTACTCTTGTTTATACAGATCTCCAACATTTCAATAACCTACCACTGAAAATGTGTCCAACTACTGAAAAATACTCCTATACTGCAGATATCCTCTTTTGTTGTAAATGATGGTTTAATTTTGAAAAAACTATGATATTACTAGCAGTCTTTAAACACACTTTTTGTTGACTAGGATCAATCTCTATTAGAATCCTTGTCATATTTGTATGAACCAAAAAAATCAGTTTGACATGTAAACTTGATATTTTGCTAAAATGACCTACTTATATCACTTGTTTTCATATTATGTAAACTATGTTGATTGAATAAGCGTTTGCGAGTCAGCGGCAAAGCATAGGCAGGATAGACACCCTCATAATGGTCATCCATCTACAAAAAATACTAATTGTAATTATTGCACATTTAGTAAGATTAATAGAAATCAACATATTGCAATTATATGGCAATTTCAACACTTAGAGTTCTCAGTGGTGATATTTGATTTGATCATTACATCACATTTTACTGTAGTTATGATATATAATATAATTTATTATTTGCTTCGTTATGGGTCCATGAACAGAATAAATACATACATAATTCCTGATTCCTGTTTTACAGTCAATAGGAGCAAGAGAAATGTTGATCAGACGCATGCGCACTAACAAGATTTTACATGTCTGTCAACTGTGAAAAACAAAAAAAAAACGCCAAAACAAAACGACGAAATGTCATCTTGCGGCCACCATTTCGGCGGAGAAAGTCGAATGTAAATTCCCCCAGTGCAACGATGGAAGAGGTTCTAGCGGTCAGCAGCAGCAGCCGGCGTTGCCACAGATATTATTTGCAATAGTAAAAATTATATTATTCCGATATGATCTGGTGTAGTTTGTGTGTGCAAAAAGAAGCGTCGAAGTATTGGTAACTATTACTATTACCTATGAGAAAGTTTTAAAATAAATTCGTATTGGTGGAGTCTTTACAATAAACAGAAAGAGGTTTATTTTTGCCATTCATTCTTTGCTGCTGCGATATTCTCAATTCATTCCATTTTCAATATAAGCACTGTTAAAACACCGCATTCAAATGTGATACTTCTGATGACTCCTCAGCTACGATGCTTCTACATACACGGCGAGTTTTTAATGTCTAAGCGGACGATAGTTCCGATATTCTAAATACCCAGAAAAGTTAGTTATAAAAATTGTAGGCAACTATGCGCTCCGTACTTGGAAAATATGCCGCTCTCCACAAGGTGATTCATGACAAAACATATACATTTTTTTAAACGAATTTGCTTAAAATGGGCGAAGAATAAACAAATATTCGTGCAAAATGGTTTAGTTTTACCGATGAATAATGTTTCTTAAATCTCTCATTTAAATGTTCATGTACTCTCCTTTTTTCCTCGAGAAAGACACCGAAATTCTTGTGATCGACTGAAGATTGTATTTGTCTGTTGCCTTTAGCACTGCTTACATTGAAAATGCAATGGATAGATTAATATCGCAGCCGCATATAATACATACGTATAATATAATACAAAAGTAAATATGCTACTGTTTATTGTAAATAGGTGTCCAGCAGGAAAGTTCACATTTAAAATTTGAATTACGCGGCAACTATACTATACGCGAGGAAGTGGAGAGAGGTCATCAAAAAGTGAACTTTCCTATTGTTCTGTTTCATTGTGTTTTGATGTTGGATGGTTAGCCACAGAAACTAGCTTTTGGATATTAAAACCATGCGTTCTAAAGGGTAAAAAATCGAAAACACAATTATAGGTTACGAATGTGTAAGGATGGCTAACCCTGCTTGTTTGAAAGGAGGAAACAGGGCCCTCTCGTCACCTTGCAGAAAAACACAATGGCATCTTTCAACTGACACAAATTGCATGCAACGGTCTTGCAGACTGTAGAACGGTTAAAAAATGCACAAGTGACTCTAATGGCATGAGTGAACTGCAAACTTACTTCGTCGGTAAAAAGCGTTTTTCAACAAATTTTCTAATGCCAATGACAACAAAAAAATTTATAAGAAAAAACCTGTAACGAGTCCCTATTCATGGCCATGGTCTACTTACTGGGCAATGGAATCAGAGATAAAATGCTTCAATCTTTTTTGAAATTCTTTATAGAGTAGTCAGTGAAGTCGGTAGGCAACGCGTTATATAGCTTGACAGCAGTATATACGTACGACCTTTTAAATAGAGACGTTGAATATAAATAATATGAATGTTTGTTATGTATAAAATAACATTTCATATAATAAACACAAGAGTATTAAGTTTTACTGTGATTGGTGAAAATTATAACTAGGTATGGTCCGTCGGTCGTTGCTATACCCCGTCATAATTGTTATATTTATATATTAAGAGAAAATGATCATGCGGATCATTATATATATTATATATGTATATATAAAAAAATCACACACGAAGTCCACAACAAGAGCCAACCTACACATTCTAGTATAAAATGGCTAGAAGACCTCGAATTTTCAAGGCGACATCTAACCACAACCACGCGGCCAACTTGCTGTGGTACTTCATACCCAAACGACCTACAAAGAGAAAATGATGTGGACTTCGTGTGCGATTTTTTTCACTCTCCATCTTCGTTTCCTCAGGTTACACCCGTATACGGATAAATGGGCATGTGCATCTACTTTTGTAGTTGCATATATGCATTCATTTCGGGCCTGATGAAGCCAACCAGCAGAAATCCGTATCGCTCGGGTTAACTATCCTATTTTCTGCTTGAACCCACTTTCCTTCTTTTTGCGGATTTTGCCCATTATTTTCCTATTTTTGTTATATACCTTTCTCCGCATGATCATTTTCTCTTTATATATATATATATATATATACAGGGTTATCCAAATTAAGTGTCCACCATTAGTAACTTTGTTATTAGTGAAAATACAAAGTTGTTTGAATTAGCAAACTAGTAGCATTTTTAACGCTGGTAAAAATGAGAAATAAAAAAAAACAATTGAGAGTCGTTATTTTGATTTTTTTCAGTAAAATAACATTTTTTTAAATGGAAACCCCTGTATATTATATTTTTTTCTGTTAAAGCATCAAATTTTAAACAAAAAAGCTTACAATAACTTTTCTCCTAGGTTACAAATTGTTGAAGTTATGGCCTCCAATCTGAAACAATTAAATTGTATCGACAAACTTTATTTTCAACATCAACTTATAATCTTACAAAATACAATAACAATTTTTTTAAAGAAGATGCTCGAAAACACCACCTTGTTCTTCAATACATTTTTGGGCACGTTTTTCAACTGCTCGAACTGTCTTAAGTATGGTCCTACCATCTATCTGGGTTATCTTTTCCCTAACTGCAGTCTTTAACGCGTCAAGGTTATCGTACCTTCGCTTGTAAATTTGGTTCTTTAAGTAACCCCACAAGAAGTAATCAAGTGGGTTTAGATCTGGTGATCTGGGAGGCCACTGTATTGGGCCATTTGTTCCTATCCACTGATCATTAAAAGTAGTACTTAGAAAATGATAAGTACCTCTGGAGTTGTGGGCAGGTGCGCCATCTTGCTGAAAATGCAGATGATGTCTACTTATAAGATCCAATTCGTCTAAGAAATTAGTCAGAATTTCTGACATAAATTCCACATATCTTTCACCAGTTAGGGTTCCCTCATAAAAGAACGGGCCAACAATTTTTGAACCAATTATACCGCACCAAACGTTGAAACTGAAACGGACTTGTGGGCCTCTTGGATGTACTAACAAAAGATTTTCTCTTGACCAATAATGGTGGTTTTTTCTATTAAACATTCCAGAATTTGAAAAATTTGATTCATCTGTCCATAAAAGGTAACGAAAGTTATTTACATTTTGGCGACAGAAGCTAAGATACCAATGGCAAAAAACAAGTCTTCTCTCTGGATCCCCTGCCAAAAGCGTTTGAACTGGTCGGTACTTATACGGAATAAATTTGTATTTTTTTAAAATCCTTTGAACAGTACCATAACTGAAATTAGAGTCCTTGAGAATATCTGCTATTGAATTCTCACGATAAGCTTCAAAATATCCAATAACTGCAATTTCCGTGGCCTCGCTTATTATGAATTCTTTTTTTACCCTTGTTTTAGCAAAAACATTTTCGTTGCCCCTAAATTTTCGATAAAGTCTCAGAAAATATCGTTCATACGGTTGAATGCGAGCGGGATATAATTCACTGTAGTATTCTCTTGCTCTCAAGGAGGATTTTCTGCACACTAAATAGCATTCTAACATATCACACTTTTCTTCATGGGAGAACATTTTTCTTTAAATTAATGACACAATAAAGCTTATAAACAAGTATTTACACTAATGTTTGACATTATTTGATTTTATCATTGTTTTCCAAAGCCTTCTAGTTGCGAGTATGTCCAGTTTAACAATTTGTCGCTTATCTTAATGCTGTCAAATCGCGAACGCCATGTTGTTTTCATAGCCGTCTTAATATTATAATACTGCAAATAATTAAAAATATTTATCGTTATTTTGACTTTATTTTTGACTTTAGCGGAAAAGTCATTATGAACTTTTTTGTTTAAAATTTGATGCTTTAACAGAAAAAAATATAATATACAGGGGTTTCCATTTAAAAAAATATTATTTTACTGAAAAAAATCAAAATAACGACTCTCAATTGTTTTTTTTTATTTCTCATTTTTACCAGCGTTAAAAATGCTACTAGTTTGCTAATTTAAACAACTTTGTATTTTTACTAATAACAAAGTTACCAATGGTGGACACTTAATTTGGATAACCCTGTATAAACACTGGCAAATACCTAAAGAATGTTTTCAATTAAGTGTAAACAGGCTGAAGAAATTCTGTGATACATAATAAGTGATTAATATTTGCGAAAATCATATTCGATAAATAATGTGCGGTCGTATACGGGTATATATCCACTTTTATAGTTGCATAATAGCATATCCCTTAGTAAAAACTTTCTGCAGATATATATATAAATCAATTCCTACAATGTGTTAATGTGTATGAAAAATACTACTAGAGGTCAAATATTATAGATTTCTATACTACATAAAACTATCTCTAACGAGGTCCAATAGAATGGAGTCTCTAAACAGGCAATATTTTTACTGCATTATCCCAGTTGCAATAGAATAGCTAGCAACATGCAACAACATTTTTAGTATGTCCCGGTTGTATTTCCGACAGATTTGCAGACCCTGCTATCAGATTGCCACCAAATAATTGGATTTCTAGTCAATGTAACTTGAAGCGACACGTATAATTTCGTTAGTCATTCTTGCCTCATTTTGTAGCTTTTCTGATCCGAAATTCTGAAAAGCGCGTGTGTATACACACTGCAGATAATAATGTTGTGACATAGCCGAGATATACAGGGTGTCCCGAGAGTCGTGTATCAAACGGAAGGAGGTGATACGGAAGATCGTTTTCAAACAGAAAAACCATATAACGTATGTTTTTATCCGATTATACACGGTTTGTGAGATATCGCCATTTTTTTTAGAATGTCTATACATACGATGTTCCCAAATGATGAATCGTTTGAAAAAAACTATTGGTGAAATATTAATTCAGATAATGTAGGTACAGAGTAATCGGCTAAACTGCAATTTTGTGTGCTGTGACTGTTACATCATATTCAACAAGACCCGTACAAAAAATTAGTGGTCCATTGCCATGAAAGAGTTTTGGATATTACGACTTCCCAAAAAACCTTTCAAGTAATCAGATATAGTCAATCGTTTCTCTGCAAGATAAATAAAATACTGTAGATACCATTACTGTTGTAAGTACCCAATTTATTAACTTATTCTGCTATAACTGCTAATGTCAATCTTCAGGATAAATCCTCAAATTCAAATAAATGACAGGTCTAATCAATGTAAGCGGTGGCTGCCTTAACTTTATTCTAGGTTATAAGAATGGTTGCAGAAGTATTACCTAACCCGACAACGGATTTGGAATAAAAATATGATAATAAAACACGTACGAGGTACGAGATACACTAGCGTCCGTACGGTAACGTCTCACCTGTTCCACTTGTGTGATGTCAGTACAAGATATCGATTTCGTTACAACAATATGCAAAAATATGACCCTAGTCATGATCGAATATTGCATCAAAAGTATTGCACGTTTTAGAGGATCCACAAATGCAACTACGATATTCAATAAGAATAATCTACATGACAATTGCAAGATCATCATGCGTTACTTGATATTATTTATCTTCGATTAGATATTCTCTTATCTATAATGAACTGATTTCGTAATGTTTAACACGTATTCGAATATTTCGATTGTCATAACGAATTACAGAAGTGATTTACTCGGTTTTAATGATACGGGCGAAATACCGGGTGTCCAGCGGAAAAGTTCACATTTCAAATTTGAATTACGCGCCAACTGTATACGCTAAATAGTCACAATGGAATGTTGGACTGGAGCGCAACGTGATATTTAAGAAATAAAACCCGCCGAATTTACGGATATGTTGACAGTAATAAATATTTTATTTCATTAAGTTTGTATTTTTTTCTTAAATCAAAAACTGAACTTTTCCACTGGATGTATTACAACAACTTGCGATAATGGTTAATAATTATATGTACTGTATAAAATCTTGAATCGTTATATTTATAATCTTATTCGGATTCTACAAGGAGAAGCGTCCTCGAACCGTTCTGCAATAGGGTCAGGTGATTCCAGCGCCGCATTGCGATTGGCTACTGGTAGTTCTAAACCATTTCGGGATAGTTTCCTCCTGTGGACGATAATTTATACGATCACAATATAAAACTCGATTTTGATAAAAAATCAATCACTCGGTTCTAGGAACACTTTCTAATGATAAAAGTATCTGAATGTCAACGTGTTGCTCTTTGAGCCAATATAAAAAATATCCACTGTTTGTATACACAGCAGCAGTATAGTCTACGTAAATTTGGTGTAGTATGGGGGCGGCAGCGGCGGCGTTTTGCTTATGTTTTACTTGGAAATAAAGGTGCTGGTATGCGCGATACATGATTTTCCGGCCTCGAATCCTTCCTTGGACTGTATATTTCCGGGACGTGCTTCCGAGGATTACTCGATGAGAACTCTTTATCGTCCAAAGTGTTTAGGCTCTTGTAACGTTTTAATAATTCTTGCACCTACAAAAATAATTACGATTACAACTTGCATTTCGATTTTCACAACTGAACCACCATTGGCTATTTTTTTTTAATCTTGCCTAAAAGAACATTAAGTTACATACAGGGAGGCCCAACGAAAAGGTCGCGCCAATATTTGTGACTCTACTGGTACATCTTGGGAAAAAACGCAAGTCTATTTTAATTTCTAGGGGACGTCTTTTCATCTATACAATACATGCTGATCCAAAAATAAGATATTGCTTTACACTTTAGATTCTTAAATGGAAACCCGCATTTTTTTAATTTTTAGATTTTCCATCAAGTTTTTAGTAAATTTTGTATAATAAAGTATATACCTATCTTCAATCGTTGTGAAGCTTTTTAAGTTGAGTGCGACCTTTTCATTGGGCCACCCTGTACATGTATAGGTATAACAAAGTAGATGTTGAAGGGGGTGAAATTTTCACGTTCAATACTGGATTCGCTTACGCAAGTACACAATTTAAAAAAAAATATTTATTATTATAAGAGAAGACATAAGAGGAAGAGGTAAATAACAGGGAATGCTATCAAGTATTAAGTTATTCTTAGAAGGAAATAGAGAATCGGTTGTAATAAAAATATTCATCACTATTTTGTAATTGTGCAAATGATTAATTTATTTACTATTTTAGTAGAGCTGAAAGTAGTTTTATCAATGTACGAACCTGTTCTACAATAGCAGTTTCATCGTCGATTTGCTTGACAGTCTGGAGTAGTTCCTGTTTCAATCGGCTTTTTGTCGGTGACGAATTTGCAGATGATGATCTCCTGCTGTAGTGAACAGCCGAAGCGCTTCTCCTACCTTAAACAAAACGCTGTGTTATTACTTTTTGATTTAAGAGAAAAATACAAACTTAATGAAAATAAAATATTTATAACTATCAACGTATTTCGTAAATTCGGCGGTTTTTCTTTTTAAATATCATTCCGTCCACATGTCTGCCATCCGTTCGAACAAACTTTTCTAATCGCGCGCGCAAATTCTGAAACACTCTCTTGCTAACTTCCTGACTGATGTTGTTTATTATTTCCCGTCGAATGTTGTCTTTAAACCTCCAGTGTTCGTGCATTATTGGAATACACTTTTGACTTTATATAACCCCACAAAAAATAATCGCATGACGTGAGGTCGGGTGACCTAGGAGGCCACTGTGCTTTCACCGAGTCCATCGATTCTCTGGGAGTATGGGCAGTGGCCCGATCCTGTTCAAACCACATGTTTCAGTTAAATCGACGTTCTGTTTTTACAACACGGGCAAAAAAAGTGCCAATCATGTCCTTGTATCGCTCGGAATTGACTTTCAATGCATGACCTTCAAACAAATACGGCCCAATAATACCCCTAGAGGATATGGCGCACCAAACAGTCACCTTTAGACTATGTTGCTGTTGTTGATGTGTCTCTTTTGGGTTTGTTGTTGGCCAATATCTGCAATTTTGCTTGTCCAAGTGAAAGATTCAACATCCGTCCAGCACAAGATTTAGCGTAATACGTAATCACTTTCCTTTACAGCATGTACTGATTGGATTTTATAAGAATGAAAAACAATTTTTTTTTTCATTAAACCGTGCAGAGTTGACCTAGGGAGGCAGCGGATTGCTTTCCCCGTACGAATGGGTTAAACTAAGAGTAGAGCCTGTTTCACGGTTCTTACTTGGAGAATCTTTTGATCGGCGAATGTTGTATCGTGTACAAAATTTCCGAAGGGCTGTTGCGTATGAATCACAACTGTTAAAGTAAGCCTCGATAGCAAAAGCACATTGCTCTCCGGTCCAACGTTCCATGGTGACTATATATTTAACCCGCACGCCGAACACGTTGATCAAGACCTTTCCCCATCACGTGCTCGCGTACACGGTTGCCGCGTAATTCACATCTGAAATGTGAACTTTCCCACTGAACATATTATGTATAATACATTATACAGGGTGGCACATCGAAAACGAAACAGACGCATTTGCTGGCAGCTCAGTTTTTTTTTTTAAAAACGCTCAGACCCGTCGATTTTGTTTTCGAGGGGGACACAAGTTTGGCAAAAAATCACGTTAACACGTGCAGCCCCCTGGGCGGCGGTGACACCAACCCTAAAATCTTAAATGGAAGGGGGGTCGAGTGATACCTTATTTTAAAGGTGTTTCAATTCCCTTTGTAATGATGTAAAATGCATGAGCTTCAGTTCAGTAGTTTTGAAGATTTATTGATTTAAAGCTTAAATAAAACTAATACATCATCATTAGTGGAGATAAATACATTTGGCAGCAAAGTAATTTAAAAATGAAGAATGAACTGACCCGTTAGGCAAGTAAATGTTGAAAATGGGGTTCTAATGGCTCACGGCAATCCCAATACAAGCAAACATTTCAAAATGATACTGACAGTGATAGTCATTTTTTGAGTTCTGCTGTACCGAATAAGTGTAGTATAATAGAGTTTTTGTTTGTTTATGTATCTCTATTTATGATAATAAAAAAGATTATAAGGCAGTGTTACATTTTTAGTTTATTCTCCTGTATATCACTGCTATTCGCATTACGCGTCAGCAGCTTATTTCATGTAAAAAGGACAAAGACGCAGGATTATTCATCACATAATTAGTCATGATATACAGAAAAAAAAAGCATTTTTGGTCAAGGGTGAGATTCAAAAAGAAAAAGTAACAGTTACTAAAAATACAATCAGGAAAGAACAATGGATTTTGGGAAAATTCGTTTTTTTTTCGTCTCTATACGGAGGTACTTTGAATTTTGAAACTTTCTAAGCGGCATTTTATTAGTTACCTAGATACGCAACAGTGCCTTCATTCGTATCTCTGACCGTTTCCGAGTTCCCAACGGTGAGGGTCGAATTTGAAACACGTAATCATATAATCTACTTACTTGTGGCATTTCGTTGAAATGGCGATACGAATGTATCGGATGTAAGAGTATGCCTACTGCTATTGACGGTGGTTTTCAACCTTCCGCTCCAGGTGTTTGTTTTAGAGTCGCATCCGCCGGTGCCTGCTGTCGATTTTTTCGTAGCAGCCTGAACTCTGTTGGAAGCAGCTGCAGAAACGGTGGTTTCCGTAGTTCTGGCCGGCATGCTGGACGTGCAAAAAGACCTTTGTTTCCTGCGCAATGCTCCCCCTACCCCTACGCTACTGTGTGCTCTCTTGACGGTGCCGGCAGCAGCAGCAGCAGCAGCAGCAGCAGTCGACCCGCATCCCCCATCTCCCCCTCCTGCGTTCGTACTTCGTTCCGACTGCGTTTTTGTCGTCGGTGACACTTCCTTAGAATGCTGTTGCTCGTACAGCCATTCCTCTAACTTGGGCTTGTTTGTTGGTTTATCATCGCCTGCAGTTGTACCGTCATCCTCGTAGATGTGGGAAAACTGAGTTTTCCTCAAGCCGTAATCGTTTAGTTCGTCCCCTGTATATATTTGCTGATGCTCTGCTGCTTAAAAAAAATTATATATATATATATATATATATATATATATATGTATATACTGAATGGGAAAAATGTAAACACCTACGTACACAGACAGAAGCAGGACTCGTCCCTAAAAACCACCTGATTCCATTCCCGTCCCACACAATTTGTATGTAAAAAATTCTTGGACTCTAATAAACATATGTGTACGTAGGTGTTTCCCTTTATTTGTCACTCAGTATAAATATACTCGTATATAACAAATAGAAAAATAGTGGGTAAAATCCGCAAAAGGAACGCGAAATAAACTATTTGCACACTAACCTACTTAGTCAACAAGTTGACATTTTATCGATTTTATTTTGACATTATATAGGTTTTAAATAACCTTGCGGCTTGGTCTATGAGTGCATTGAAGGATAAATGCGCTCAAAATATATATAATATATTTTTCGAAATGAAATAACTGCTTATGCTTTTTCGATTGCAGGTTAACTGTGATTTTACTGCTAAGTTAACTCTGAAAACGCATATTCAATGTTAGGATTGTCCCTACCGATAGATAGATTAACTAGGACACCGGGTTAACTAGTTGTAGATACAAAGATGAAATTTTACTGCGAAGCCCTGCGAATCTTATTTTTAAAACGCCTAAATTATTACAGAGACATGTAATGACACTTGACGACAGGTGACTAATTCCTAAGTACGTTTTCTGGGACCACTGAATTCATTATAAGAAACGCTGCGGATACGAGGTAGTCCAAGCATAATCGAAAATATACAATGCGTTTGGTCACGACATACCGATATTATATATATTTAAGGGGGGTATTTTTCAGCTATTTTTATCGACAAATGTGTGGAATCCAGACTCAGATACGGTATTTATCTTTGGGGCTGCTCTGCTACTGCACAACGTGTTTTTATTGCTCAAAAGCGAATTGTTAGATCAATGGCGCGGGTAAGTAACACACACAGTTGTAAAGACATTTTAAAAAAATATAAAATCTTAACAGTATCTGCCCTGGCGATTCACGAGTTGGCGTTATATGTATTCCGGAATAAGTCCAAGTTTACTCTCAACAAAGACATATACACAGTTACCACAAGGCAGAGTGATAATATACACTCCAATTTTTCTAAATTTAAAGTAGGAAATAAATCGCCAAATATACTTGGTCCTAAAATCTTCCTTCCAAAGGATATACAAGAAATAGCAAATCAAAATCACTTTAAGTATTGTTTGAAAGGCTTATTAATACATAAATGTTTGTATAATGTTTGTGACTTTATCAGTGTGTAAACGTTGTTTATTATTTTGTTTTAATATAGTTTTGTCATAACTCTATGTTTGACAGTTAGTATCAATACAATTTTTTCAATAATCGCTAGAACAATATGTTATCGTTCAAATGACACCAAATTTATCATTCTGTGACTCTTATGTTCTCAGTTATTACAATTTTCATAAACGCACTAGCGTAATCGTAACGTAAATATAAAAATTGATGCCATTTCAAGAGGGGTGAGGTAGGACATTGTAGGGGGATGGATTTGTCGATAAAAATAGTTAAAAAATACCCCCCTTAAATATCGGTATGTCGTGACCAAACACATTGTATATTCTGTCAATTCTGAGTTCTACCAAATAAAGTAAACAAAAAATGAACCATGAAAATGACAAGTGTCGACACCGTTATTCCCAAGGCTTTGATTTGAGCACGGGAAGAAAAACGCACTTTTGATGTTCCAAAACTATTACTTTGTTCTAATTACTAACGCGTGGAACAGTTACGTCAAACAATTACGAATGTCAGTTGATACAAAGTAGTATAAAGTACACTCTGTAATAACTTACGAACGCAGCACAGATTTAGAAGTGGCGTTGCCCTGATCAACAGATAGGGTTTGTTAATTTGAAAATCGAAGGTAACCAATGATTAAAATACCGAGCCATAGATGGTACCGACGGTACGTTAACATCGAAATTATGTCGTTAATGTATAAGAGATTTACCATTTTCGGTGGCATCCAAGGAGTTTTGCTGGGACGGAGGTTGTTTGTTTTTATCCTGGATAATTCCTAGGCTTCGATATCCTTCATCGGACATTTCTGATGTGCTGTCACTGTGATCGGTATCATTCACTTGAAGACTCGTCTCACTTTTTAGCACCTGAAACGTAACAGTTTCTTAAGGTACAAATGAAATATCACACTTATTTAACCTTAACTTTACATATCCTAGTGACTCGTCAAGATCAGTATCTAGAAACATCAATAGCTCTACAAAGTTTAGTCTAATCATATTAGACGAAAATACCCCTGGTTTGCGAAATAAATATATAAAGTCTCGTTTTATTGCTGCAACTTGTTCAAATGGACGCATGAAATGGGTAAAGCAATTTATTTTATTCGACAACTATGAAAGAGATAATGTGTTTTTTGGGATTCAATCGAAAGTGTTGGCAGAAACGTAAAAACTCTTCATATAAGATTTTTAGGTACGTACAAAATGAGACCACACGTAAAAAGATCCGACCAATAGGAAACAAATTATGGCCTCGTTTTTCGGCCATAACATTTTAGCTATTAGTCGGATATTTTCACGTGTGGTATCATTTTGTAGGTCTTATAAATATAAACACCTAAACATCTTATATGGAAAGTTTTTTCGATCCTGTCAACACTTTCGATTGAATCTCAAAGAACACGTTTTTTCCCATTCTTTGTTGTCGAATAGAAATTTTTTTCCACAAAAATTGGTGTACCCATTTTATGCGTCCATGTTTTAAATATCCCCTTGAACAACTTGCACCAGTAAAACGAGACTTGACAATTATTTCGAAGAAATTTGCTAATATGATCAGACTAATGCTTATACAGTGGACCTCCGGTAATCCGACAAACATTATGCAGGGCAGTATCGGAATATCGAGTTTGTCGGATTATAGAGCACTGCCTAAGTCCGCAATTTTTTACAAAAGAGTACCTTGTAATCCGACAAATTACGTATTCAATAGTAAGATTATATATGTTATGTATATGTATGTACTTTGAAGTAAAAATCATACATAGTTTATGTATGTCGAATTTAGTAAATTAAATAACAATAGAGAGCTTACGTTTTATTATAAAATTAAGCATAAATGCACATACATATGTACCAAAATAATCAAGAATTATTAATCAAAATCATTCATGAATTTATCAAAATTATGAAGCTTGGAAATATTCATCAATTTTTTTTGTTTAAGGTTGTTATAACGCGAGATCAGAGCTTTGTCCCTCAGTCTTCTCAAAAGTAAAAGTTCGTTGTAGGATGTACCATTCTCTTCAGCCCATTGTAAACCTAGCTCAAAAGCGTTAATTGCGTCTTGTGCTGTGACTTGTGGAGCAGTTGCAATCACGTCTTCGTTATTTTCCTGATTGTTTGTTGTATAATTAGAAACCTCTTTTATAATCTCTTCGTCAGACATTTCATGAAAAGCATTATTCTCTTTGTCCATTCCACGGCACCAGATTTCCAAATCTTCCGGACTTATCTGTGTTTCAGTAGCGACTTGTTCTATAACTTCCGAAGTAACACTGATTTGTGGATCGTTGCTAGGAGTGGTGACTATATCTGGCCATAACATTTTCCAAGAAAATTTAATAGTTGATGACGGTAACGCATTCCACGATTGACAAAGAGCAAAATCAAAGTCTTTCATATTAAATTCTTTTAAAGTTTTTTCTATTGGTTGGTCTTTTGATACGGCTCTTAGAAGTAGGTTTTTCTTATAGTCTTGCTTGACAAACTGAATGATATTCTGGTCCATTGGTTGAATCAGTGCAGTGCAATTTGGCGGAAGAAACATCGCAGTGATGCATTTATCCTCAGTTGTTAGTTCTTCTTCAGACGGATGACCGGGAAGCGTTATCAAGAAGCAACAACGCTTTTTGAGGAAAATTATGATCTTTTAACCATTTTCTATCTTCAGGTACGAAGCATTCATCAAACCACTTTTTGAAAAGGTCTTTTGTCGTCCATGCACTTTTTTGTCGGTAATAGGGTACAGGTAAATCAATGTTTTTGAATGCCCGGGGTTTATTAGATTTGGTTACACGCTCTTTACTTACTTTTCGTCCAGGTACAGATTTTTCGTTACAAGAAACGAAAGTTTTGTTAGGCATTAAATGGCTCTATGCAGGTGACATGGTTAGAAATTTTCTCTCCTGTAATAGTCATTAAACGTATGCCATGACGACTTTTAAAACGTTCTAGCCATCCTTTGCTGGACACAAAATCATCTTGTTTTGTTATTTCCTTATTAAAAAACTTAGCTTTCATCGCCAGCATGGGTCCTGAAATTGGTGCATGCCTATTTCTCTCCTGAAGAAACCACATGTACAAAGCTTCTTCCACTTCTGGATGTTCAGCTTTCTTGAGTGTCTGTCTGTTGCCTGGCCCGCAGTCAGTAGTCGACACGAACTTCTTGATCTTCTCGTGGTTTCTTTTAATGTCATAAATTGTAGATCGGCCTACGCCGTATTCACTTGCTAAACTACTGAAAGTTTCATTGCGATTTAAGCGGTCTAAAATATCACATTTTTCTTTAATTGTCAATGTTTCGTGCTTTCGCTTCTGAATTTATGATGACATTACTAGGTACTATACTTAATATACAATGAATAAATAGTAAACAATGAACGCACGCTAGGCCGTACCGCTATCACCAGTAGTAAAATTCAAACTAAGTAAAACAATGCTTACACCTCGAGCATTAGCGAAGATTGTCAAATACGTATGTATGTAATACATATTCAAAGACATGTCGGATTACAGGGGGCGCCGGATTATCGGGGGTCCACTGTAAAAGCGTGTTAAAACAAATGCGTTTGTGTAGCGGAGACATTGCGTCATCCGTGCGTACCTACCTGTGAATCGACATCGATTTGCAGCAAGCCGGTGGTGGTGACGTGTTGCTGAGGCTGCTGGGGGATCGTCTTAGCAGGTTTAGGGGTAGAATTGGCGACGGCATAGGCATGGACGGTCGTTGGGGTGTGTTTGGAGGAGCAGGGGGCCGATGAAGCCAGTTTGGCGGTGTAGGTGGAAGTGAAGTTAGGCGTCGGACTGCGCGACCGTCGATCGGTGGTCGCTTGCAACAAGTGTGGTTGTTTGGACGGCGCGGGACTGATAGAACGTCTAGGGGCGGAGGCGGAGGCCAACAATTGCGACGGCGAACGAGACCGCGATCTGTTCAGGCTGTGCATGGGCGGACCCAAAAGGGCACTACCGTTCGAGGCCGTCCCCGCCCCCATCGTCGGCCCTGCACCGCTACCGCTGCTGCTGTTCACCCCCTGATCGCACGTCGTAGGGACTCTGCAACAACATATTAACAAAAAAGATATGATTCAAGTAGCATACCGGGTGTTTCAAATTGGTATTAGATACGAAGTCGGTTATAAATTGGGGCAAAGTGGCGCGTTTAGGTAAGAAAATGGCAGATAAAATCTTAGGAAATTATATTCGTTTTAATAACTAGGGTGTGGTAACGCCAATGTATGACATATTATACATTTTTGGATTTAGAATTTAAAACTCTATTCATCTGCGCAAAAATCCGATATGGCGTCTATAATAAAAAATAAAAGAGAAGAGACGAAAAATCATATTGAAATTATATTTATCTCCTCATGTAGAGGAGAAAAGTGACAATGTTAATGTACTGTAACAAGAATGAATGGTACTACTAGCGCCATCTGTTGGGAACATCACCACGGACTCTCGTTCGGCATCGAAGCGAGGTGCGAGACTGATCGCGAAGGTTCTGCAGTGGCCGGGATGTGGCGTACAGGAACTTTCTCGAATTAACGAGTACCTGCAGATACGGATTATAATATAAGCCGACGGCTGGGACAGAGTAGGGGACTTGAAGTGAATAGCGCGACATCAGAATTCGCAAATAAGTAGTCGGACATATATAGTGGTGTACATAAATGTTCTATCTAGTTAAGTTAAAGTTAGTTGTGTTGTGTTATAAATAAATTAGTGCATTTCTTTTTGTGGAATCGAGTGTTTTAATTCACACCCAGAAAAACGCTACAGTACTTTTTACGTATTATTATCTGGACGAAAATCGGGTAAAAATAAAAACGAATTTGAGAAAATTCTATTTCTTCCGTCTATCTCGGAATTGCGAAACTTTCTGAAAGCCATTTAACCGACTTCGATTTACCGATCCCGAGATCCCAATGGTCAAAGTCGAATAAACAAAATATAATAAAGTAAACATATTTATCCGGTAGCAAATATATAAACATAAAAGCTATTTTGCATTTATTACACAATCGAATTGAGCAGCTATTGCATACATAAAGAATCCCCCATGTTAGCAAAGTGATTTACTGACATATCATCCATAAATCTATTCACAAATTTATTACCCCTTAACAGCAGTACTTTATAACAACCCTTATCGCTAATTTATAGCAAGTTTCCGTCGTTTCTGTAGTACGGACTTTGCTCCGTTCCAGTTTTATCTCTTTAGGTTACCAAATAATAATATTCGATGACGCCGTTTCGACTCAGGTGACGACCTAAAAGTAGCCGACTACGACTTGTTTAAGAGTCGAGAGAAACCATTTTTTACAAGGGAGGAGAAATAGAAATTGGAAAATAAAATTATCGAAAAAATCGTACGTGTTTCAAGGGTAGGTAGATTTATCTTGTAGTGTCCCTTATAAGTTCAAGGACGAACCAAATTAATTTTTACCTGTTATAATAGACATGGGATCCGTGTAAGTCTTGTGCTCCTTGCTTACTAACTAATTTAGCACCTTGCGTCGTTCTGTGCTGACTGCGGCATCTGCACGGATCGTGCTTATCTAAATAATGAGCCAATGTATCCCATCCTCCGCCGACTCGAACCATTACATGATTGCGGAGAATCTGAAATCAAATCGATCATAACTAACGCTAATATTATTAAATAAAGTTCGGTTGGCGCCATCTGTTGAGCGGAATTGGGACTATATATAACTCGGCCGCGGGAAGATGGAAGCAGAGAGTACAGATTACACCAGAGCAGAGCGGAATAGAGTATAGTGCAGTCGATGGCGACATAAGAATTAGTCAGACGTAAATAGTGGTGTATATAAATGTTCATCAAGTTAAATAAATCAGTGCATTTATTTTTGTGGAATGCAGTGTTTTAATCCACACCCAAAAGAACCCAGAACAACGCTACAGTAATATATTCAACTTCACTTACCCTAACAAAAATAAGTACTTTAGTATCGCCTATCCTATATTTTCCATCAGAGACCCGTATCATAGGGAATTGTGTTGGACACGTGCATTGTGCTACCAAATCTCTCACCTGAAAATGTACAATGTTTTTGCGAATCATATGCTGAGAGACAAAAAAAAAAGGTAAACACCTACGTATGTTTATTAGAATTCGATAATTTTTTACATAGTGATTTATCTTGCCATGAACAACAAGTGATAAAATGGTCAGGTTTTTTCTGTTAAGTTTTGGTGGTGGCTGCGTGAATTGTTTGGTGATAAAGAACCATTCAGTTTTCGTACAATTGCGGTGTCAGTTAAATGTTGAATTTCGTGTAGCTTATTGAGAAGCCTTTTTGTGATTGATCAGTGCGAAGAATTCGCCGGTTGTCCAGGCTAAGTGACTTTGAGAGGGGTCGAATTGTCGGGTTGCGTAAAGCCGGTCTATCGATAAGAAAAGTTTCTAGGAGGACCAACAGATCCTTACGCAGTATACTGCGACTTTTCAGCCAGACAATGCCAGACCACATGTCGCCAGCGCATCGTTAGCCTTCACGGAATCGAACATGTCTCGGACATGATAGGTCGCAGGCTCTTGAATTGGCGACACCCTCCACAGACTTTAGCAGCTCTTACTCACGAAGTTGCAGTAGCTTGGAATGAGATACCCCAACAGGATATCGATCACCTTATCAGCAGGATGCCCAGGAATGCCAAAGGGTGTATAAGAAATCGTGGATTCTCAGCACATTATTGTACCAGCTTCTGCAGTCAGTTTACGAATCAAGCTGAAAATTTAATCATTTTGCTAGTAATATGCCAAAAATTATTAAAATTGGATAAACATACGTAGGTATTTACCTTTTTGTCACTCAGTATATGGGTATTTCTCAACAAATTTAAAAAGTTGATTTTGCGTTTCTTAAAAAAAAAATAATGAAAATATATCCTTTTTTGCAGAAGTTTTACTTTAGTGAGGTTCATTGAAAATGAAGGTCCTCCATATTTTTGTGTATAACATCTAGAAAAATGACTTTTAAGAAACTATGAAATGAAGGAATGACTGATAGGATGGGGGAATGATTTTTACAACAATTTGATGCTGAATTGCAATAAAAAATATTAGTTAATTTATCAATAGATGTATTGAGATTTGTTTTATACTTTAGAGGGCACATCCTCGTATTTTCATCATTCTCTAAGAAATGAACAACATCACCCCTAACTTTCGGCAATTTGGAGCTACCTTTACGAGTACAGTTCTTTTTGTACGTATCGTTTTTGAAAAAAATGTTTCGATCTATATAGCAATTTGTATTTTCACACTAATTGCAGCTTCAACATTTTGTAATATTTTTTCTTTTCTCCATGTTTACTTCTAAGATCTTCATAGTTATTCTTGGCAGTGCTTCTCCGAAAATGAGTCTTTTTCTTACAACATCAGGAACTTGCATATTCTTTGAAAGCGAAGACACTTTAGTTGCTGGAGAGTATTATAAGCAACTTAAATCTACGTTCTTCGCGTGCCCGACTGTCTAAGTGTACGCATAGGTACGATTTGTATGGGCCATAAAACTCGATATAATTTTTTAATCTCTGGATTATTTTAAAAATCGTGAAAAATGAGGACGTTTTCGGTAAATAGGGTTTCACTTATTAAATATTTTTTTTGGTGGTTCCCATGAATATCTTACCATATCGTCAAGGCACTTCAAGTCGTTTGTCACAATTTGTGGCACAGGCCCGTACATAAGTACAGTTTCTTCGTCTTCCAATTCGCTATCACTATCACCATCGAATTTAGTTTGATTTTCGGTGTTCTCATTGTATATTAGGCCGTTCTTCTTTTGATCTGCCGCTATTTCACGATCAATCTGTCTTTCCATTTGCACTAGCATCGGAGCTAACATTCCAAATCTAGAAGATGGACATTAGTTAGTCACAAGAAATAAAAACACTACTAAGACACTATATAATGCATTTCATTTATTCAGCAATAAATGCGATAAATAACACGACGTTCGTACGAGGTATCGTCAACTCACTTGGCTCCTCTCCTGGCAACTTCCAGCAAACACAAAATGACGTGCTTCTCGTTCTTCCTCATGATCAAGTCATCCGACTCAAACAACAAACATTCTATTATTTTTAAAGCATTTCTGCACCAATTAATAAAATTGCTCACGTTGTCCCTGCAACAAAAAGAATCATTAACTAAATTAACTTTATTACCGGTAGCTATTGTATAACAATACACCCAGAAAAGATTCACCAGCGGTGCAGGTAGAAGCCTAAATACCAGGGCACTGCGGCTGCTATAGGCAGCTTGATGGAACTTTTTTAATCCGATTTTTGCTCTGTCTAAAGGCCGTTTGTCACGATACAAAATTTTGTTCATAGTTTGGTACCAAATTTTGTGAAAAAACGCGTTACGTACATAGATGTTAGATGGTATGGGAAACGTATGACGACAAGAACGAACCATGTGGTTGTCTCTCTAATTCATGTTCTAGAAAAGCAATTTGTAAGAATATATCAATTTCAAATAAAGTTGCAAGGAAAATGATAACTGAAGGGATTATGAAGTTTGTATATTCATGATACTCATGTTTACAATATTTCCTCGCCAGTGACGTAGGAAATGAAAAAAAAAACAGGCTCGTGTAGATTAACTTTGAAATGTACATTAATCCAACATATCATTGATTAAAAATGACAATATAATGAAACAAGCATGTTTTCCATAATGATGATTTCAAGAAAGTACTCGGCAGTAATTATTAACCGTTTAACATTAATATGTATCAGCGTCGGTGGTAAAAAATACATCGAAGCAACCTTTCCAGAAATATCGTCGACGTATATGGTTGCAGGTAGTATTATGTAAATCGAGTTGGTCGTATCAAGAAAACTTACATTACCGCTGATCACTTATCCCTGAAGATTAGCCGTAACCGTTTTTGCTTCAAGTCCTGCGTGGGTTTAAGTTTTTTTTAGGATAGGAATAATTATTTAATTCCTTTTTAATTCAATATCTATTCGCTTCGCAAGACCGTTATATAAATCTAACACACCTTCTACAGCTACGCAATTTGTTTATGCTAAATCGAACAGTAGAAATGAAGTTTAATCACAATACTTGGAGCAGTCATGTCATTTGATTACTTTTGTGGAACATGTCAAAAAAACATTTTACATATTTTGAAGGGACAGTATTATAGTCGCATTTTAGCTTGTATACCTGCGATACTGTTTAAAGGAACATGAATAACTAATTAATCTAAAGTTACATAAAAACCTATAACGCACTACATATTAGTGTAAAATTCGTAGTGACATATCTCAAGGTGTTTCGTCGCGGAAGTATAAAGAATTACTTTTCAATGGAGTTATTCAATGGAAACACGCACGTATATGCTTGGATTTCAATTATGTATACAATTTTTAATTACAGGTTATTTTAATAACTAATGATTAGTGGTATCACTGGTATGATATATTGTCCTTGTACATTTGGGAAACAACGTAAGGATAGGTAACTAACTATATGTCTTCATCCAAACAACTGATTGAAATATACGATATTTTCCAGATTTACTTTTGCATTAAAGTATCTATTGTAATTGAGATATTAGAAATAATATAATAAAACAAAAACATGATGAATGAGATCACAAACTACACTAGAGAAAGTAGTGGAGCAACGTATTAACACGATACAGTTGCTTTTACTGAATCTATTACTCTTTTTCAACTGAAGCCCTTGAATTTATTTTATATGTATAGTATACTCATACATACAGGGTGGCCCAATGAAAAGGTCGCACCCCCATTTATGACTCTCCTGAAAAAAAAACGCTCAGACACGTCAATTTTGATTTAGCTCTTGGAAAGCTCCCATTTTGGTAATACAGTTTTGTTATTTCTACCCTTTCTTGAATTCATTAAGTCATAGTTCAATATTCACCACAGCTAGGTTGATAACTTGACAATTTGAACTGAAAGACGTCTTTCTATGATATACAATGACACTGACTGATTCTAAATGTTCTTGCTAGTATCCATAATTATTATTTTTGTGGTGCAATATTAAGTTAGTCGAATTTTATTATAAACTCAAACAGTTTCACAACGATTGAAGGTACAAAAGTTACTAAAAACTTGATGGAAAATCTAAAAATTAAGAAAATATATGGGGGTTTCCCTTTGAAAATCTAAAGTATAACGCAAAATATCTTATTTTTTGATCACCCTGTATTGTACGTCTATACATGAAAAGACGTCCCTCTAGAAATCCCAAAATATACCAGGAGAGTCACAAATAGGGGTACGACCTTTTCGTTGGGCCACCCTGTATGTAGATATCATGTGAATGTAATACAATCGTATGTCTAGATTCGAACAAGTGCGCAACTAATCACAATAATCTTGCTAATTGCCGGTGTAATTACTGTAATCTTATAAAAGCCCAACTGTTCAGTGAGTCACTGGTTCACCGGTATGGTCTCTTATTACCACTACTCTGTATTTTTGTTATTATATTTGTTGTTGCCGGAAATAGTAACTGGATGGTTGGGTCGGATTTAATAGCTTTATCGTTCTCATCGTCGTCGTTGTCGTTGTATTTGGTAATTTCTGAGTAGGGGGGAATTATAATTAGCCACGATCTAAGGTTGGGAACGGGAATGCTCTTCGGCTTACAGACGGTTACTTTGAAGAGAAAGATGATGTACAATTTAAATTGAAAAATTCACCTGAGCGTCCAATTTTGGAACGACTCCAAATTCTAGATAGTCTTGAACATCTTTGAACATGGCAAAGGTCAACGAAAATAATAATGGTGACTAAAAAGAAAAGAATAAACAATGTGTGTGTGTGTGTGTGTGTGTGTGTGTGTGTGTGTGTGTGTATGTGTGTATGTGTGTATGTGTGTATGTGTGTATGTGTGTGTGCGTGTGTGTGCGTGTGTGTGCGTGTATGTGTGTGTGTGTGTGTGTGTGTGTATGTGTGTGTATGTGTGTGTGTGTGTGTGTGTGTGTGTGTGTGTGTGTGTGTGTATGTGTGTATGTGTGTATGAGTGTGTGTGTGTGCGCGCGCGTGCGTGCGCGCGTGCGTGCGTGCGTGTGTGTGTGTGTGTGTGTGTGTGCGTGTGCGTGTATGTGTGTGTGTGAGTGTGTATGTGTGTGTGTATGTGTGTGTGTGTGTGTGTATGTGTGTGTGTGTGCGCGTGCGTGCGTGCGTGCGTGTGTGTGTGTGTGTTTACCTAGCGAAAAATGTGCCCGGCTTGGCCGTATTGAAGTATTTGACCTCCGGTATCCTGTGGAGGTCTTGGGCGATGGCCAGCGACCCTGTCACCGACCTCGTCATCACTTTCTTCGCCTGCTTCTTCGCCACGTACTCGTGAGCCTGTGCCCGTACGGCGTTCGCATGCTGAAACAAAAAAACGCAACTTAACAAGAATCATGATCCATGATGATGTTGATGATAATGATACCTAATCTTTTGTCATCTGAGTAGTGAATCTGACTGCGTCAATCATAAAGTAGTGCTATTGCAGAAAATGTCATGGATGGTGTTTTTTAGAGAATAGGTCTCAATTTGTCGATAGTGGTCTGAATGTGCGTATTAAGTCCGACTTGGCGTCCCCCAGGGCTCCCTTCTAGGACTCGTGCTATACTAAATCATCTTGAGTACTGTTCCATTGAAGGTAGATTCATTTTATATGCAGATGATATTTCAGTGGTGATATCGATTACTTTAGAGGGAGATTGTGGAGTTTTACTGGAAAATATTCACAAATGATTTAGCAGCAATCAGCACTAACTAAATTCTGAAAAAACCATCGGTTGTCCACTTTCATAACATCCAGAAGAAACCTATGGCATTAAATATCACTTTTAATGGCTCAATAATGTCTCTTGATACGCAAGTCAAATTCTTGGGCTTGTATCTAGAAACATGTTTAAATTTTAAAGACCACTGTGTATATATTGCATCAAAGAGATCTTGCCGAGATACGGCCGACCTAGTTATTATCAGTCCACCCGGTCCCTCTCTGAATTCAGATCTAATAAAATTTAATAAAATCGATTCGGGCATGCTGAATACCTAATTACCTCCTCGTATCACTATAAATATACACAGTTGCATTGTGTCATTTACAATAGTCGAGTGACAACCGAGAAGCATTCATACTCGTAAGCGTATGGTGGTGGTGGTGGTGGTGTACAGAAATAAGCAGAAAGGCCTTATTTATAACCGGCCAATGCGGCTGACTGGCGCTAATGTCAATAGAATCACGAAGCGGAATAACGAAGCGAAGACAGTTTTAGCAAGCACATATAATGAAAATGTCACAGTAGATGTTACTCATCGAAATGTTTCAGATACTAATACACCGAAAGGTTACGAGAACGCTGCCGCTGATGATGAGCAGCTACCTCTATAGCCACTAACAAATTCAATTATATTTTATCTGAAGCATATATGTACGAGTATATATATATATATATATAATGTTATGAATATCCAACTCCTAGCTACAACTCGCAACTTTGAAAACTTAAAATTGTTGAATCTACCAAAATTCTAAAATGAACACGTTGTTTGAATGAGCATCGTTTTCACTTTGGACTTGCTCATTCTTCCCTTTTTTGGGCGAGGAGACGCCGTCGTGTGCCACTCGGAAGATTGCCTCTTTGTCTCGGAATCATACTCAATGATCCACGACTCGTCACCTGTGATTACGTTATTCAAAAATTGGGGGTCACTTTCACACATGTTCAAATTTTCTTGGCACACTTCGCAATTTCTGGTCGTCAGTGAGCACCTTTGGGACCATCTTCGCGCACACCTTGCGCATGTTCAAATGCTGTGTCACAATGCCATGAACCACAGATTTTGTTAAGCCTGCTTGATCATATCAAACGTCTCTGTCGCAGATTTACCGAGTTTCATACAGAATTTAATCGCGTACCTCTGCTCTAACGAAGTTAGCTAGGAACGCCCTCTACCGAATTCAGTCGGTGCGCGCATGCTCCGAAGTACAGTCATGGCGGAAGAAAATGAGTCCTATTACTTTCCGGGCAAACCCTGTATTATTCAATGAATTACCAAAGTTTGTTTAGTCCATTGTCTATTTATTTATACTTGTGTCAATTAGATTAGCTTTGCTTTCAAACTAGTTGAGCTTGAGTAATATACCTGTAAGTATTATACTGATGCTCAGGAATAGTGTTTAATCAGTACGAGCCAAGTTTACGTATACTCACACATTCAACCGTTAACCATATAACACCAGTAAAATATGTATTTTTCGGATTAGACACTAATCAAATTATCGCCAAAAGCAGCGTAAATAGTGACAGTGATGTAGCGCATGTACATGTAGTAAGGTCACTTAACAGCCTCGAAACGGACTCCAGATAATCATTGATAATGACAAGCGTAACCATATGATTTACTAGCATTCAACCGCGAAAACGACTAACGCTTTAATTGTTTAATTCGTTTGCACATCTGTCTTATTGTTGAGAACACACTGACATTTTCTCATGTCAAATGACCCACTTTTTATAACAGCATATGCTAATGCGAACTTATTTGTCTCTGACCATTTTTGTATTTTCTTAATCTACAATGGATTACGGGTATTTCTCAACAAATTTAGAAATTTCATTTAGCGTTCCTTAAAAAAAAAATAATGAAAATTTTTCTTTTTTTTTTGCAGAAGTATAAAGTTTACTTTAGTGAGATTCATTGAAAATGAAGGTCCTCCATATTTTTGTGAATAACATGTAGAAAAATGACTTTTAAAAAACTATGAAATGAGGGAATGACTGATAGGATGGGGGAATGATTTTTACAACAATTTGATGCTGAATTGCAATAAAAAACATAAGTTAATTTATTAATAGATGTATTGAGATTTGTTTTATACTTTAGAGAGCACATCCTCGTATTTTCATCATTCTCTAAGAAATGAACAACATCACCCCTAACTTTCAGCAATTTGGAGCTAACTTTACGAGTACAGTTCTTTTTGTACGTATCGTTTTTGAAAAAAATGTTTCGATCTATATAGCAATTTGTATTTTCACACTAATTGCAGCTTCAACATTTTGTAATATTTTTTCTTTTCTCCATGTTTACTTTTAAGATCTTCATAGTTACTCTTGAGATCCGTTGGCAGTGCTTCTCCGAAAATGAGTCTTTTTCTTACATCAGGAACTCGTAAATTCTTTAAAAGCGAAGACACTTTGCTGGACAGTTTGGGTCAGTATTTTTAGTTGTCCATCTCAAACACCTCTTCTTATATTTCTCGCTAAGCTTGACTGCGTTCCTTACTTTATTTTCCTATCTTTTAATCTTCGCGTCCAGAACAGTTCGCCGCTTGCGCATTCTACGTCTATTGAGAGCAGACAAATTATCTAATCTGTGCAGTAAAGATGGTGCAGGACTTGGTGGGGGTGTGCCTTCAACTATTCTCTGTAAATTTGTTTGTAATGTAACACGCTGTTCCCTATAAACTTTACTATTATTTTTCCATTGTTTTCGTTTTTAGCTAGTTTCTCTTGCACTCATAGGACTTATTTGGTTCACTGTAGTGAGAACACTGCACGTATTGTTGTGAAACTTTGAATTTAAGTTTACTAAAGAGTGAGGTTAAGATTCAGTACTGATGTTCGATCCGCGCGGCCTACTATGTTTCTATATGCAAAACTTTAAAGACATCCCTCGTACAAAAGTTACTGAAAACTTCATGGAGAATCTAAAGATCAAAAAAATTGGGGTTTGCGCTCTTTCAAACATGCTGTGTTATTATGAGCGATACTGTATTGTCAAGATGGAGATCAGGTACTAGTTTAGCACCGGAGCGTAAGCCGGTAACATTTAACGCTGAAAATGGCCATGCATCCTTGATCGGTAAGAATAATTGCTATAAAAAATAATATTCTTGCAGCGAGAGCATTACCAAAATAGGCATGTTCCGGTGAGCAAGTTCGTTATTATTAGCGGACCAGTTCCGTAAATACGGCCCTGACAAGGTTATAGGTATGAACGGATAAAAATTATACGACACTTTTGGGTTCTAGGCAACGCTGTCTCTGACCGCTTCAACCGATTGTCCCGTACTCAAGAAAATTCGAAACCAAACGACGGATAGTGTTGTTGCCTGTTTGCCACGATATTTTCGACGATATGCACGTTGCGCTAACACAACTGTACGACGATTTTCAATGTACATTGTGACTATTTCGGCGCGTTGTTTCGGTGTAAAGCGATTCATTACTAAAATTGAAGTAGATTGACGTTTCAGAAACACGTATAACCATCAAATATCAAAGTCATTCGATGTTTCAATACCGTTTTGAATACCCTGTATATTTTCGCGGATAAAACCATGCTTATAACCTTGGTCAGGTTTCAGTTAGTAAGTGTACAAATTTTCTCCGTATTGTGGTTCAGGTGTTTGCTGATAGACTGGACATACATTCCCATTTACAAATATAGATAGATTATAGATCGATGCAGATCCATTTCCATTAAATGTACATTATGTTTTACGATCACGTTTAAGAAGCGTCAATTTACGCAAAATTTTAGATAGTCATATAACATTTCAACAAACGTGTACGGCTTTCATGGCATTAGATTGAGATGTCACAAGCGGTGCGCGGCTTCAAATGAAATAGCTTTGAATATAAATGTGGAAGTTGAAGAACAGAAGCGACATCGTTTGTCATATGTTGCAAACAAGAATAACAAAGTGGTTAATTTGAATATTATTCGCGATAGTATCTCACGTAACGTTTGCAAAGTTAGTAGAGCCGTGGCATAACGAAGACGCGGAATGATGTCGAAACTTAAAATTTCTTCATTTGCGACGACAACGGAGAGCGTTTTATATAAAGGCGACGGCAGGCCGGCCGTACTTCAGCCATACAAGGTTAACGACAGCAACGAATGCGCGAATATACATCCACCGACCAATTATACCAACAAGAAGAATGGCTAACAGTAGTTTTGTTTGCAGCTCAGCCAATTTGAGAATTCTTACGGCAGCTCGTAAAACTACAAACAAACAAGGAATATAGGTTTTGTAATTACAATGTTGCTGTGCTTTTGGTTCAAGCGTTTTGGGTAACCGAAAGGTGAGAAATCACTGAGTATTTAATTTGTTCCACTGTACTGCATGGCCATAATATTTTTACATACTAGTACTAACATTTACGGACTGATGAAAGCGTTGCGCGGGAAGTGCAGAGTCAACCCACTTGACGCCAGTTTTCTACGTTTAACCTAGAAGTGAGATAATCGAACAAGAGTTTTTTGAGGTTCGGCAAACAATGCAAACAATACAGGATATACTTAACTATGAACAAAAAAGATTGCAAAAATTCCAATCGTGAAAAACTGGGCATGCGCTAATAATAAACGACGACAAGCATTAATTTACAATGTATGGTTGTTGAAATCATTATTTGATGAAAGTGCGAAATCTATGATCAATCAATTAGTCATATAACTTGCCGTATACACACACGCGATTTCTTCGGTCAAGTAAGCTGTCTATCGATAAAGAAAGCTATAAAAGATGTAAATGCAACAGGTGATATGCGAAACAAAAATACCACGGATTCATTTAATGTACGAGGTGTAAAAACAAAGCCACAAATCCCAAAAGTCAACGTTGAATCTCGTTTGCCCGTCTAACTAGTAGAACATCAGTCATAGCGTCATAGGCTCATAGCTGAAATAAAATGCAGTGTCAGCGGCATCGGCATCGCCCTGTACATAAACGGGCTCGGCTCGGCTTGTATTGGCGATTGTCTTCATAGCATATAAGGAGGCAGGAAAAATCCTTCATCGGCCGAATGGATATTCAGGAAGCAGCCCTTCACTGATCGCCGCATTTTATTACTAAGGCTGCTGCTGCTGCTGCTGCATTGGTATTTATTGTTATTCTCGTATATTCGTACGTTTTGCGGCTTTGCACATTTCATACAGAGCCAAATCAAAACAGGGAGTCGGGCGTAAATGAAAGTGCCGTGCCCATCATGACATGAACAATGGACTAACCTCAATGGTGATTGTACGTATTTTGGACAGTAATCGATATACGGACACATAGGTACTTTCAAGTTTGACGTCAGTCTCATTTACCAAATCAGAAACGCAACTGTTCTCAGTCATAACAACAGGAAAAAAAGTTGGTTAAAGTTAGTTGAAGCAGTATTTATTGCAAGCCATTATAAAACGAGAAAATGTAACGGTAATTATCAAAAATGACTTACATCATAATTATAGATTCTAGGAATATTACAAAAAGCTAACTTTGGTATTGACAAAGTAATTTTTAAAGAATCGATCCAGATATTTTGTTTCTGTTATTGATGTGAAACGTTTGTATTGTAAATATTCTATGTGTAATAGCGAACTTGTGTCAAAATTTCAACGATATCCGAGTGGTACTTTCTTAGTTATTGAGTGGTCAAGACGACATACCAGCTGAAATAAGTGACAAAGTTTTTCGTAATTGTAAATAAGTCATGAAATATCAAACAAACATGCGTCACTATTTTGCGTCTATTAACAAAGGGTTTGTACAAAATAATCGTTTTTTTTTATTTGCTGCCGATTAGATAAGAAACAGTTTAACAATTTCATCAAAGTTCAAATGATCTGTTCGTGAATCCTTTGAACGTTGGCTTACCTTGAACACTGACAAACAAAGACACGGTGTGTATGGCATTGGCGAGTGATCATAGGCCTTATACGGCTGCCTTTGCCTTGTCCATTTTCTGCCATGCCAACACTCGGATACACATACATACATGATGAAAGCTATTATATAAATTATATTGTGATTCGCACTGCAGACTGGCTACGACGAATGTACTGCCGCTCAGGATATTATCATATTTTTACATTTCATTTGCCTTGCCTCGAGATCAGTTTGAAAAGCAGTGGCAGCACGCAGTTGAATATAATAGTATTTCAAATCCTTGTCCACAACAGTGCGGCTGTTTAATACAGTCATATTTATACATTTGTTGTCGACAACTCCGCCTTTTATGAGGTAATAAGTAATATAGAGTTGTCCAATAGGGACGCAGGAAAGTAAACGTCAATTTGACATGGACGCCATCTTTGTTTTCTGTCACCGACATGTCGTTTTGTTAGTTGAATGTTTACCATTGACCGCTAAGGAGTCATATTCGATTGAAGAGCGCATTAAAGTTATTCAAATGGTGCAAAAATAAAAAACACGTTTCGCGCGCTTCGTGAACATTTCGGTCGCAACAACCGCCCAAACGAAACAACCATCGGTCGTCTGGTGCGTAAATTCGAGGCAACAGGTTCCGTGACAAATCTGCCAGGCTCTGGCCGGCCAAGGAGCGTTCGCACACCGGAAAATATTGCTGTTGTGAAGGAGAGTGTGAGAGAAGATCCGAAACAACGCGTCGATCCCAAGAATTGGCCATTTCGAGAACCAGTTTGCTCCGCATTCTCCACAAGGTTTTGAATGTACACGCCTACAAGATCCAATTGACGCGAGAGCTGCGTCGGGCCGACCATTTTTCGCGCCGAACGTTCTCAGATTGGCTCCTTGAACACCGCCAAATTGATGCCAATTTTTCACCAAAAATCACGTTTTCTCTTTCTTTGTTATCAAATAAAAAGTTTTCCCACAAAAATTGATGTAAACACGTTATGCGTCCATGTTTCAAACACTCCCTTGAACAATTTGCACCAATAAAACCAGACTTTACAATTAGTTCGGGGGAAATTTGCTAATATGATTTAGGCTATAATGTAAAATTTAGTGAATGTTACATTTTAGTAACTATTTAAGACATACGAAATTGGGGACGACAGGTGGTATTATTATAATGGAGCCATTGTATAGGTTGCCTAACATAAGTTGCACCTGCATTTCCAGAATAATATTGCCGGGTAATAAATTAGATAAGACATATTTGTTTGGAATCAAGTCTAAATACAGCAACGACAATTCGTATTAAGTATAATAAAATGAATCAGCCTTGTTTGTTTAGAATGTAAATGTTCAAAGTCGCATTCAAATAAATGAAACAGAGACGAAACAGGAAAATGATACAGATAAGGCATCTCTCATGTACACATTAAATACGCCAACGCACCATTCAATGTCCCCATACCCTATTGTGATATTCCCGTAACACAACAAATATTAGCATTTAGAAAAAACAAACCTGCTCGCTTCTCACGTCTATTATGCGTAACGTAGGAACACTTCTGTGTTTGTTAACAAATTACCATAAATCAACCGCTTTTACTTTGGACTTTATTAGTTGTGCTGCAAATTAGAAAGCAATGTGAATGCCGAAAATTTAAAAATGCGCGGGAAATTATGAGTATACAATAGATTCGTGAATTGAAATGGAAAATGTGCGGATTTTTGTTGACAGGATAATGGAATTACACAGCTACCGCACAGGTTTTTCTCAAAATTGTTATCATTAGAAAGTGTGCGAATTAAAATCAAAAACATGGGCGCGTATTTTTATTTTCCATTCGTTCGTATTCCCGTGGAGCGTCGAATGTGACAGAAAGAATGACGTCAAGTAGACTGACTCTATACTGCATTCGCCACAGTCATCATTTAATTTTCTCGTCGTTACCGGGATCAGCAGCTTTTTAATGATGGAACGTATTTGACTGGTACTAAGGACGTAACATTTGCAACCTCCAACCCCAGGTTTCAACCCCTACAATTTTTTTTTCTGGATATCAGGAGCTTCTGAGATATCAAAAAAACGAGCGACTATTATTCCTAGTTTTTGATACTTGCACTTCTCTAACCACGTCTCTAGTGCTTGTTGAGGGATTCTCGTCTACGCGGTTCAGTAGTTCTTCCTCAACTTGCACCATTCGTGGTTGTCTACGTCTCCCACTGTGCCCACCTCGAAATTCCTCCAAATGGCCCGTATCCCTGACTCTCTGGACCAGCTACACAAATCTGCGGGGCCTTGGATGATGTCGTCTAGAAAAACGATCTGCATACACTCGCGAAGCCTCTGTAGCATTTTGAAGACATTCGTCATACATTAACAACATATCAACGAGTTCATTATTGGTGTATGAGTGTGCCATTATTATTTTTTTTTGAAACGCAATCGATTATACGGGTTCGTTTACCTCTACACGCGTGACCGTTGCATACTGACCTGACGCACTGACCCCGACCCAGGTCTGTCGTCGGGTTGAGCCAGTGACATTGTCCCACTCCGTGATGTCGCGGCTACAGGACGGTATTCAGATATTTTCGATGTAGCAGAGCCCTTTATCTCGGTTCCCTTAAGACATTGGTGTATATGGAACTAAGAAAAATTGCTTATGTTTTCAAGATCTACACGTCGTGTAAAGGAAAACCCCAACTTTGCGGACACCCTGTATTTTACTTACACTAACATTCATACTCTTCTTTAGTTATAATTGTCTGGATATTTTTCCTGGCATTACCATAATAATTCACCAAATTATACAGTAATAACGTTTTTTTTTCCATACACGGACTGTACTATTAGATTTTGTTTTTAACAAACCCAAACACAAGTGCAAACTTTTTTTGGGTGCTTTATGTTTATTGTGCACAATATTTGATATTTACCTGTATTTTGTGACAATAAACATTATTATTGTTATTATTATTATTTCCGAAATGTTCCGCGATTACAATATGTACTTCCTCGCCGGTAGACGTGGGAAATAAAGAAATGTTAAAGTGCGTTACCTCGCAAAGGGCAACGCCCGTTTCGAGCTTCTCCATGAAGTTGTCCACCTGTATTTGTAGATGCGGGTACATGGTGTGCAACCATTCGGCCAGATCTTCCTTCATCGCGTACAGATATTCTTCGCTAGAACGGAAGGGCCTGAAAGGCCGCGCCTCCAGCAACACCGACGAGTTACTCATCTTTGTCAAGCCCCTTCAAATGGATGATCACCGCCTGACGACGGTGCTGCTGCTGCTGCTGCTGCTGCTGCCCCGGATGCCGGTACCCTCACGCATTCGGCTTAACGACTAGACACCGACAACTGCAAATTAAAAAAAATGTTCAAGAAGTTGTTTATGTACTTTCAACGGATTTATATGCGCAACCGTTCTGAACGATGGCGAAGAACACATACTGCAAAGCTAATAATCGGCTCTCATACAATTTTTCACATAGAAACCAGCGACGTAGTCAATTTTTTTCTATGCAGTATCAATGTTTAGCTATAAATCAAACTTAGTTGTTTTGATGGGACACCCTGCATCTTTTTTCTGGCTTACAATAATATATTAATGATATGCGAAGATTTAAGGGTGTTAATCTACATGAAAAATTAATGTTAGTTTGCTTCATAAACTATGGTCCAACAATTACAAAAAGTCGGGGTGTTGAAATTTAGGAAAAAAATGAAAATTAATTAATATTTTGAGAACCGGTTCAGATATTTCACTGATATTTAGTACGTACTGAAAGTTAATAAAGTTGCATATTTTTCGATGCAAAAATAATTTTTAGCTTTAACAGTGGCGTGCGTACGGGTATTGACTTCGATATTTTTTAAGAAAAAAATGGTACGCCGATGGTTTTTTGTCAAATAAAAATTATTTTTTAATATCCTGTTCAATTTAAAACAAATGATCTCTCTTGAATTGTTTTCCTTTGATGCGCCATTTTTGAGTAAAAAAATAAAAACCGTTCCATTGTCCGACAAAATTAATGTAAAATTGCAGAATGCAATTTAGCAATAAATGTCTAGTTGCTCTGGAATATGTGACTGGCTTTTGACATCTGACAAGTATCTGTCATTCAAATCTATTCGCTGTGACATCTTTTTCATTATTTAGTTTTTACAATCTTGTTAATAATTGTAAATTATTCAAATACAGAACTGGCGGAAATGCATTACGTATATGGCGTTGGCGACGGTAATGGTGAGCAAGCCAGACCGATTTATCACCAGAGATATCCCGATCGTGCTTTGCCAGATAGTCGAACCTTTTCTAATATTCATCGTCGTCTTGTTGAAACTGCGTCTGTCCGAAAAGGTACATCTGAAGGTAGAAGGAGGGCGGAAGCATGCCTACTAAGTGAAGGGGGCCATTTTCAATAATTTTTCCAATCATTTCGTTGGTTTTAATGTTATGTTTATGTTGTCAGTTGTTGTTGTTCATTACCCCTAATGCGTTTAATTTTTCCAATTAAATTAATAATAATTTTGCAAGTTAGACGGTTTTTATTATTTACTCAAAAATGGCGCATCCAAGGAAAATAATTGGAGAGATATCATTTGTTTTAAATTGGACGGGGAATTCAAAAATAATTTTATTTGGCCAAAAACCATTGGCGTACCATTTTTTTCTTAAAAAATATCGAAGTCAATACCCGTACGCACGCCACTGTTAAAGCTAAACATTATTTTTGCATCGAAAAATATGCAACTTTATTAAATTTCACTACGTACTAAATATCAGTGAAATATCTGAAGCGGTTCTGAAAATATTAATTAATTTCCATTTTTTTCCTAAAACTTCAACACCCCGAGTGTTGGTAAGGAAATATTTTTGGACCATAGTTTTTGAAGCAAACTAACATTAATTTTTCACGTAGATTCACACCCTTAAATATTCGCATATCATTAAGAATATGTATTTTAAATAATAAATCTAAAATTCATAACCTGATTAAATTTGTCCTTGTATAACAATAGATTATTTATTGCTGCAACTCTCTATTTTAGTAGTAAGTGAGATGCCCCGTAATATCATTGAAAAAGGGACGACACCTTGTACAGTCTGCGAAAAGCAATTTTGACCTGCAAACCAATGTTGAAATCGCTTAAAAATAAACCAATCTCAAAATACTCTTCGGGGTCTTGTAAAGCAAGGTTTAAACTTTAACTTAGATTCTTGACGATCTCAAAATTTATCATTTTTAACCGATTTTTGAGGCATGGTATCGCAGGTCACATTTGCTTAAACAAATTAAAGAAATGACAATTTTTCTTGCCCGGACAAATTTTGTTCAGGTCTTTGGGATCAGACAGCATCTATTAGCAATTCTCTAAAACAGACCATTTTCGAGTCAATGCCTGAAAATCCCTAAAAATTGGTATATTCATCGCTTGAAAATTATAATTTTTGAGCTCGCCAACTATCTAAATTAAAGACTGAACCTTGCTTTACAAGACCCCGAAGAGTATTTCGAGATTACCTTATTTTAAAGTCACTTTTAACTTTATCTGGTAAACTTGACTTTCGCAAACTATACAAGGTGAATTTCCAAATTATACTTTCTTCTGATAAGACGTCAAATATTATAAGGCACCTCGATTCACATCTAATCATAATCGGATCTCATTCAGGATAATTTATCTACATGTATAGATACGAAAAATACATACGCATTTCAGAATTGTTCAAACAAATGACAGTCATATCAGTAACCAACAAACACATTTTTAACGCATTTGTACACGAACGGAAAATAGAATGAGTTCATAAAATTTTCCGCCGCCAATAAGTCGATCGATGAATCTACACGTCACATAATCATGACGCGAGTATTAATCAGAAAAGGAATTGCGAAAAATATGTCACACACCATATCCCAAATGAAAATGGATAATTGCGAAACAATTTGCATATTGTCGCTTTGCATGTCATACGCGGTGCTGCTTTATAGGGGGTACACTTTACGACATTCATCATAACCAATACGACAGACATACCATTGTACTTACACTAACATATTTCAGTTATGTTAAGGCGATTCAATTATTTCTTCCGAGTATTGTACGCACAGAACGAAATGTGCAGTAGATCGAACAATCAAACTTTGAATTACGTGATTCATACTGAAATATTATAACGAATTTTACAAATTATTCGATAATATACGTTTCTGATAGAGACAATGTAAAAATACAAATAAAGTATGGTACAATTTTGGTATTATGTATGTCGAGTGAGGTTTATTGGAAGCAGTAATTATGTGATATGTGACATTCGATTTATTGGCCACTCAAAATACAGTATACATGCTTATTCGTATCTTTTGTTATAGTACCCTTTGTACATGGTCCTCCTGGCATCCCTCTTCATTTCCTATCGGACTCATAGTCCAATTTGGATTGAATTGCGTGGTCTTTGTAATGGGCCGCGGTCCGTGGCTCGCTCTCCTCATAAGCGCAGGCACAGCAGCTTAACAGCTGATGACGATGAGTCATTTGCACGTGGTCAGTGCACGGTATCGGCAATGTGCGGCTGCCGGTGCCGGTGGGGCGCTCGCTCACGATTCGACTCCTTTTTCGGAAGATACCAAACCACCGGACGATGAAAAAGTTCATCTAGATCGAGTCATGAACGACTCGCGGCATTCAGCGGCTGTGCTCTGTGTTACATCCTGTTACGATTGACATGGATTCTGATTAGAATTTAACTATACCAATACACACGAAGATGACTAACTTGATGATAATAAATACGATAGACGAAGACTGCTCGACTTGGCATTTGCTATACTGCTTTTATATCAAATAATCGGTTCCAGTAGTAAAGAGCTTTCCTTACTTCACCTAATATATTATTGAATAAAATTATTCCGAAAATAACATTGCCAAAAAACGACTAATAAATAATATCTAAAAACTGTTGCATATCTATGATCGAGATGAAAGCTTGTTTTCTAGGTAAATCGGGTGCGTAGATTCCGAATTTGCGTTTACGGTTAGCCCCGGAAAGATAGTTGTCAAAGTTTCACCTAAAATCCGGTCTGATGACACTAGAATTTTTCCACTATAATATTCCTATTTAGCGCCCCAAATTACCTCCTTGTGCAAAGCTTCGCTCTCATGTAGCGATCGATAGTAAAAATGGATTTTTAGCACCTTAAAGTCGCAAAAACACGCGTAGTTTTGCAATTTTCGCTAAATAATTAGATCTACATGATAAACGGGATCATACACGTGAAACGGCTTCTGATTCGGTATTGGCAACCCAAAATACGTGGAATAAAGGTCATTTGAACCGCATTTAAAGCATTTTAACATATAATTACCATGTTACCTTTAACATATAATTACCATGTTTCGAAAAAGGCACAAATCGGGTGCGTAGTAGGGATGCCCAAAATTGAAAAAACATCGATACTGGTATCAAATGATGTATCGAAAATTGAAAACATCGTTCTTTCCGATACATCGATATTTTCAAAAAAATCGATGTATCGAATCAGCGAATTTTGCTAGTTTTGATTAGTAAAGTAAATAATCATAATTCAAATCATTTTTAGAAAAACTAGTCATTAAATATTAAAGTAAAAAGTCTATTATAAAGGAGACTCATTTGATTTAAAAATATACTTTTGGAATATAGTTATACATTAGATTACTGATTACTCTAAACATATAATCCTAAATCCATATAGAAAATGAACTGCAACATAAAATAAAAACAAATTAATTTACACATTCCAAAACTTCTTATTAACACTATTTAAAAATAGTAACTTTGAAAGTCTTTTTCCTTTCAGACGATGTCTCGTTTGTGTCAGTGTTTGCCCTGCCTTAGAGAAAAGACGTTCAGAAGGTACGGAGGTTGCCACAATCGATAAGTATTTCTGGGCCAATTTTGCTAGGATGGGATGTGTTTCAGACATTGATTTCCAAGTAGACAGCGGGTTATCAGAAAAATTGGAAATTGGACTCCTTAAGTATTGGGTGACTTCTGATGTAATATCTGTAGAATATTCATCTAATTGTTTCGATTTCGTTCGTTCAACAATTGTATGGTAACCGCTCCACAAATTAAATTCTTTTGAACTGCCTGAAAAAATAAAAATAGATGCAAAAATTAGCTTTCATTTTATTGAAAAATATTAGTTTTACCTGGATTTGCATCTACATTGTCAATTCCGTCAACATCGCCAACGTAAGGTTCTCCAGCTTTCTGTAACTTAAGTTCTTCTTTGTAAAGGCATTGTAATAAATTGACAGCATTTGCGCAAGCTAATGGGTTCTTAAAATGAAGTCTTTTAAAACGTGGA